TAGTTTCACTGCCTACAAAATCACCACAATAATGCTTATTTTGTGTGTGTTTTTTAATCATTTGAAAGTCACTTAGGGCTACCAAACATAATTGCTTGATCCTATTTTAATTTACTTGCTGAAGTGCAATGTAATAATTAAGCTTGGAATCTAACTAAGGAAGATATTATATGCCAAAATTAATAGTTATGACTCAGGACTGAATATCTAACTAGAAAGCATTCTCAGGATAGCCATGTGTAGGTTAAAAATATACTGTAAGTTGGATGGCAACAGACCATCCGGAAATCCCTTCCCCAGCCTGTGCTTCAGATACACTGGGAGCAGTCGGGGTATTGTAAGAATGAAGGGTTGGTGGCATCCTCCCCATGTTAGCCTCACTGTTTTCCCTGTCTCTCAGAACATTAACACCACTCCAGACTCAAAGAGCATTACAGCTCACAACTGAAGTTATCCCCATCATAAACCCCTCTGCTTTCATTCGCACTTGGAAAAGTCATGCTCTGAAATTAGAGTTCGTGCACTCTGAAAAGGGTATCTCCATACTATTGATTCTGCATTCAAAATGGAAAACCTACTTATTTTCAGAACATGCTTTAAGGCAGTAATAAAGGCACCAATGATGATTTCTGACCTGATACCAAGCCGTTCATAACTTAAAATTAAAAAGGAAAAGAAGAAAGATGGCTCTTTCTCTTGGTGATTTCAAAATCTCTTCTTTTTAAAAGTGCTCTGAAAGCATTCAGTTACTTACTAAGAACAGTATTTCAGGTGGCCACCTCCAGATATGAAATTCTGATTCCTATTTCTGTTTAATGGTTATAGACAATATAAACTCAAGTGCTTAAAGAGAAGACTGCCTTTGAATTTAGGATTCAAATGTTGCATTGTATTTTAGGTTTCAGAAACGTAACATCTCTATATAACTAAATATCATTTCTCTTGGAATAATAAAAGTATGATCATCTTAATTTGGGAAATTGTGAACAAAATACATTTGAATGTCACTATAATGCTTTTTGCAGGCAAGCAAGATGCTGTACAAATTAAGATAATTTGGGGCCTTACCCAGGAGTATTTAGCTGCTTAGGTACTCAGAGGTCTTCAGTATAAAGTAGTCTCTTCTGTAAAGCTGGCTCTGAAGGGGGGTGAATTTGAGAACGTTGGGAAACCTGAAAAATGCCACAAAGAGCATGGCATTGGGAAAAGCAACTAGAAACAAAAGAGAACGGTAACAGAAGGTTCGCCTTGAGCATCTTTCACTGGGGAAATGGGCCTGAAGTAGAGAGTTCTGTTTATACAAATCAATAAAGCTTGAATTTTTAACAGAAACATATGGGAGTATTAATTATACAGACACCCAGCAGAGCATGCAGATAGATGGGTCATAGAAACCAGTGTTGCCTGAGAGCACGTGCCCAGTAACCTGATGTTCAGAGTAGGCGCCTTCGTCCCTGGGAAGGAGAAAAGAATGACAATCATAACACTGAAGAGAAAATGGGGAGGGAGGGACCTCGACTGCCTGTGATTGGACTGAAGCCCCATGCTCACATTTTGATGTCTGTAAAGCCTTCATAAATGAAGTGGGCGCTTATTAGATTTCTTGCCTCCCAGATTAGACTCCCCGAAGACTCAGTAACTTTGACCTTTGCCTTTTTTTCTTTTTCTTTTTGAGACAGAGTCCCACTCTGTTGCCCAGGCTGGAGTGCGGTGGTACGATCTTGGCTCACTGCAGTCTCCGCCTCCCGGGTTCAAGTGATTCTCCTGCCTTAGCCTCCTGAATAGCTGGGATTACAGACACCCACCACCATGCCTGGCTAATTTATTTATTTTTAATAGAAACAGGGTTTCGCTGTGTTGGCCAGGCTTGTCTTGAACTCCTGACCTCTGGTGATCCTCCCACTTCAGCCTCCCAAAGTGCCGGGATTACAGTCATGAGCCACCACGCCTAGCCTCTTTGCCTTCTTTCTATGCATTTTCATCTTTTGCTAAAATTATGTATGAAAAGACCTCTTTGGAAACGCTTGTCAAAGTACACCATCAGAAAACCCCTTTAAAAGACGATGGATTCTTATCTCTTGTAGGGAGTATAAATGCCTTCAAGGAGGGGGTCTACCTGGAAGATTTCCCACCCTCCCTTAGAACTCCGTGGCTGGTCAGGATCCATCAGCTTCTTGTCAAATGACTCGGTGGAAAGGGCAGTGCAGTTTGGGCTCCAGATTGGAAAGCATGGCCACCCCCAGCACTGCCATTCATAGAGGCCTGTGCACAGCGCTGCCTCCAGTTAGGAGAGCAGAGATTCTTGGGACCCATGGAAGAAAAAGAAATGACTATACTTTGTCTTTTCTTTTCTTCATTCAACTTGGCCAAGCATCTGATGTGGAATCTTTGTACCATGACAGGAACATGACAGTGGAACCACCACTGAAGCCTTCATGTCAGGTCAAAAGCTTGTGTCCTGACCTGCCTGTTGCTCCAGCTCTGCTTCCTTTCACTGGCATCCATTGCACAACTCACTGTATTCCCCGGGTCTCCAGCTGCTGCCACCATTCTCTTGAAGCTACTCTTAATGAAATCAGCAACAATTTTTTCTTGTTGCAAAAGCCAAGGATTCCGCCCAATAAGCCCAGTGAAAGTAGCAGCTCCTGTGTGTGACAGCCACTGTGGTAGGCACACTGTTTTAGGCCTTGTTAGTCCTCATGGCATGGGGCACTGCTCCTACCTTCTAAGCCCTCTCCTCCTTGGCTTCTGTGATACTGTGTTGGGGACATCTTCCAGCTTCAATTCCAGTCCTTCATTAGCTCTTGTTTCTGCCCCACCCCTTGGGATTTCATCTTCCCCTAAGTTGTGTCCTTCCCCCTTTTCTTGTTCACTCCTTAAAGCACCTTGTCTGCTCCCATCTCCTTGGCCACCCATGTATGTGGGTGGATTTCCAGGTCTGATTCTCATTTCTCATTTCCTACTGGACCTCTCCACCTGCTTATCAAACTGAGCATGTGCAAAAGCATTTCCATTATGCTTATGCAAAAACACTTTCCCCTCTAGTATTCCTTATCTCAGCGGCTTCTTCATCTATGGCATCCTCCCACCCATTCATCTTCCATGGCAGATCATTCGACAGAACCTTTCAATTCTTCCTTATCGACATTGTGGCTCCTCCTCCTGTTCTTCAGTGCCTCTACTTCAACTCAGGTGCTCAGGGTCTCTCTCTCCTTTGGATTTGCACAATAGCTTCCTCACTCCCTGTATCCAGCCTCTAGATCTTCCAGTCCCTCCTTCATAAACAACCACCAGAACAGTCTTTCTGCAACACAGGTCTGATTGTGTCACTCTCTAGTGAAAAGCTTCCAATGGACCCTAACTTGGCAGAGTAAGTAACAACCTTCCAAACCAACTCTACCACTCTCATCTCCACCAGTTACCCAAACCCACCACATTCTCATTTCTAGGCCTCTGTGCATGTATTAGTTCTGCTGCTAAAACAACCTCTTTTGGCCTCTTTGCCACTTGGAAAATGCTTATTCATCAAGAGTCAGCTCAGTCACCCCTAGCAGGCTGTCAGTGTCTTTCGAATGAATGAATGAAGACTGGCCCCACTCTGTCATGCAAAGTAATGCTGTTTTTATTCACTATCCTGGAGGCATGTTGTTCACATTGCTCCTGTCACATTTGTCAACATTGTAATTGTGGCTGCTCTTCCTATCAGACCTAGCAGGCATGTTCATGAGTGGCCCCTGGGCCGCCTCTTCCTCTTCTTCTCCCATGGCAGACATCGTTCCCAGCCCTCTTTTCTACTGAGCTCAGACACAGCTCAGAATCTGTCTCAACACAGTACTTTCAGCAGACTGGTGTTTGCACACAGTTTGAGGTCTGTTTGCCATCCCTGAACTAGACTCAAGCTTTTCCAGTGACAAGCACAGTGGGTTGCCTAAAGTGACAACTCAATTGCTGAACAAATAACAAATGGATTTTTATCTGAATATTAGCTATATATTGCTTTGCATTACAGATAGATCTGTCCAGGAGAATGGATTCATGGCAAAATATAAGTGAGGTGATTTACCAAAATCCACTGTGACACTTTGCAGAAAATGTTTCACATACGCATTCAGTTATTGCCTGGGCTGCCCCAGCCCTCCCTCTTTACAGAGTTCAGCCTCCATGTTGCCTTAAAATCAACACATTGCATATGATTTCCTCTAGCCTGTCTTTGATGTATCTTGTACATTTTTAAGAAGTGGTTGGAAGAAGCATTAAAACAAGTTTCTAACCTTATATTTTATTTCCATAATCTCTCTTTTTGGCAATCACAAAGGAAAACTGATGCGTCCAGGGAATTTTAAAACTGATTAAAAAGCGCTTCAAGAGAGTTGCTTTTTCACATACTGTATAAAACAACAAATATTAAATAACAATACTTTTAGTAATCCATTGTCTTTGAAACAGTGTAGTAGCTCTCAAAAAGATGTTGTGTCAAAAACAATCAGGAAAATGTGAAACACCCCTTTTCATGGCTCAACTAAAAGATGCAATCGAAGTCTCATCATTGAGTTCAATGCGTTTCACTCACACTATCCAATTAAAAGCCTTCTTGAATTCTAGCCGCATTCCAGAATTTAAAACTAGAAAATTGGGAAATACAAATGAAGAAATCAAGAAAGTTTCTATTTTTTCCTGATTCCCTTAATAGACATAAGACAGCCAGTTGTTGAACGCTCAAAGTGGAAGTTTCTTGTGTGTCAGTCCTAAGACTGTGCAGTGCAGTAAACAGAATGATGAGAAACAGAGAAAGAAAGGGGCCTGTGAAAGCCTGCAGCATTTCTAAAATAAAAGTAGCACTGCCTCTTTGATGACTCTGAAGGCTATTCTTTTGTGGCATCTTTTATTTTTTAATGAATTTATACTGTTGGTGAATTATTGAAATGGTTTCCTCTCTCTCACCTTTTATGTGTTTTCTCTCCTATTATGTTCCCATCTGTCTTAACTGGAAAATCCACCAGGCTAACTGTCAGGTAGGTTCTTCTTGATGTTTAGTGTGATTATTAGTAGTATACATAGAGGGCAATGAAGTAAACAGACTGCTGGTGACTGGTGATGAATGAGAAAGCTAAACAGGAAAGGCACATACTCAATTATAGGGAAACTTTTTGCAGATGCATAAAACTGTACAAGCTGCAAACTCCAAGCACATTCAGCCAGTGTGAATATCTATCACAAGAACCTGGCCTAAGGGAATGTAGCAGCTCTCAATGATAAAGTAGGTTACCTGGGCTGTCCAGCATTTAGCTGTGGCTGAAAACCCGGACTGCTCCTGGAGGGCTTCATTGTTCTAGAGTATCATTACATCCTGTGTAGTCACAAGTGATGCTGCTGTAAATATAATATCAGCATTTTTGGATTCGGTCCAGTTCAAGAACAATACATAGTGACGTATTTCACATCCCTATTTTAAGTATACATCCAAGCATTCTCTGTGCCTTGAAGAATGAAGGTAACTAGGAAAAGCCGAGGTGCATATATTTTGTTAATGTTGAATGCATCCTTGGAGTTAAGTCTAACGTGATGTAACTCTTGTGAAAGGAATGGTCACTTGAAATTGCAGTAGGAGACAGACCTCTTCATTCACCCTTTAGTGTCGGGGAAAAGAAGTACTCCTCCATCCACACAAAGTCGCGGAACAAGCTCTTTTTAGTTCCTCAAGGGCAAGACAGATAACTTTATAAGCCCAAAGTATAGCTCAACCTAAGAGAGGAGAAGCAAACATTAAAATTAGAGTATGCGTGGTGTGTATCTGATGTGTGTGTGTGTGTGTGTGTGTGTGTGTGTGTGTGTGTGTTGTTTTTAATTTGAGCTCATCTTTATCTTTCGGGAGGAAAAATTATGTGCTTCAGTTGCCACGCAACACAAACTGCTCTAACAGCTTTCTAATTTTAATTTCAGAAGTCTACAGAGCAAATGAAGAAGGTCCCTACTATTATTCTTTCTGTTTCATATAAAGGAGTCAAATTTATTGATGCAACAAATAAGGTACGTACCACACCTCTCTCTGGTTTAGGCACCAGACGCAGTCTTGAGAATATGATCTAAAATCCTTTGCTTCCTATAATAACCAGCATTCTCCACTTTAATCATCCCATTCCCCCAACCTTCATGCTTCCTACATATGCCTATAGATACACGCTCATGTACACACACACATACACTTTCATACAAACAGAAAGGCACCATTTGGGGGAAGGGCTTGATCTGGGGTTTCTATAAATATTGTGCTTTCACTTTTTCATGATGCTCTCTCTATTAGACTGTGACCACTTATTATCTAGCATGTCCCTTTGGATCTGGACAACATTGAAAAAGAAAACAAAAATCACTTGTAGATTGAAAAGTCAACAATGTCATCACTCCTCCATCAGAGGAGATGTTACTAGATAAAGGGCTAGAACATTTGTCTTTATTTATCTAGATATATATATGTGTCTTCTGTTGATAATTTTCTCACTTTTTAATTTTATAACTACATTTAATTCCCAATCTCTGAGATGGGAGTTTCAGCTGTATTGTTGTCTGTCTGTCTTTCTTTCCTTCCTTCCTTCCTTCCTTTCTTCTTTCTTTCTTTCCTTTCTTTCTTCTTTTGAGACGGAGTCTCACTCTGTCGCCTAGGCTGGTGCGATCTCGGCTCACTGCAAGCTCCGCCTCCCAGCCTCAGCCTCCTGAGTAGCTGGGACTACAGGCACCCGCCACCATGCCCAGCTAATTTTTTGTGTTTTTAGTAGAGACAGGATTTCACCATGTTAGCCAGGATGGTCTCGATCTCCTGACCTTGTGATCCGCCTGCCTCAGCCTCCCAAAGTGCTGGGATTACAGGCATGAGCCACTGCACCCAGCCTCAGCTGTATTGTTTTCTTAAGAGACACAATCAGAAAAGCAGCCCAGGCCATGCTGTGGCTCTGCTGTGACTTCTTCCTCACAGTGGGAATAGTTTGTGGGCTGTGATGTCAAGTGTGGTCAGCAGGGTTGCATTTCACTGAAAAAGCATTCCTTTCTTGACAAAGACAACAGCGTCCTGGTGCTCAAGTGGAAAGCTTGGGTGACCCTTGTCCCTCTCCTTAAACTCAAAGCTGACTGGCTTCTCCTAACAAAACCCCAAACGTTCATGTGTTTTATTCCTGCATCCTTTCAACTAATCAAGCACAGAAGGAGGGTAAAAGAGATGATTACTATTGGTGAATGCTGGTTTTTCTCTGGACCTCTCACCCAGACCTCCCACCTGGACCTCCTCCATTTTGGAGAAAGGGAACAGAAATCGTGAAACAGGTGAACTTAAGAAACAGCAACTTAGGGCCAAGGCAACTGGATTTAGGTACCAGGGAAAAGTCTCACGGGCAGTGACTCTTTGGTGTCTGTATTAAACCCCAGCATCTGAATCGGAAGTTTTTCCAATTGGTTTTCTGTAACAAAAGAGGTTGTTGTTTCAGTAGTTAGATAAACCCAAGTTCCCCAAATCTACTTGGGAAAACAACCTCACAGTTATAGAAAAAGTTCTGAAACCCAGGCAAAAAGCATATAACCAGCATCATTATGCTGACCAATAATATCAGCATAATGGTGAGTCCAACTATGCAAAATATTGTTGATGGTTGTTGACAGATAATAATTGTGGAGACTCAAATAAGAACAATACCAATCGATTTGCTTTTTTATTTCTTGGAAGCATCTTTAGTTCCTGGTATATAAAATTACTTTATCCTTAAATTATAGTCCGTTGGTTTTAAAAGTTCTAACACTTTATGGAACATATTATAGAATGGCACAGATACCATTGTTATTGCTGTATCTAAACCTTAGGAAAGACTTTGGTGCCTGGATTTTTTTTTTTCTAAATTGGAGAAACTCCCTCTATTCCATTTATGCTCGAAAAGCTTGAATAGCTGTATATTTTCAGTGGATGAATTTGACACTCTCTTAGATGAACAACTTTAGCAGACTTGGATTCTGACAATTTCTAAACAAGTGACATTTGCCCTGAGAAGTTCCTGCAGTCCTAAGTCGGTCATTTCATGATGCTGGGGTTGTGGCTGGATGCAGCTGTATTAATAGCATTCTCTCTAACGCGCTCTCCACAATCAGAGGAATCAAGGAGAGCTTGCCAGTTCCATTGTATGTTGCTTACTAACACGTCAAGGCACACAGAAGTTGATGCCTGTACCTCCTGTACCTCAAGGAGATACTTCTGCTTTAATTGCCAATAATTAGATGAGTTATCCGTAAATCTCTGCTCACTGATGACTACTCTTGGAAGCAAAAGCACAGAAAGATATGCAAAAAATAATTCTGTGTAAATAAAGATGCTAAATAAAGAAGGTCAGCAGATTTTTTCAAGTCCTTGCAGTGTGGTCCTCAACATATTTTCAGAATCTAGAGCAAAGGCAAAGTGCCTATGTTGGTGGCAAGTGGAGCCGATCTGTGAATGTATGACAACATAAGCTTTTAAAGGAATTGGAGGATGTTAATTTCAACTGACTCTACAGGGTCCACATCCCAGTGACCTGTGTGGTAGCTGATCTCCCCCAGTATGACAGTGGGTAGGGAGAGAGTGAATGACTCAGGGCAGTAGTCTAGTAGTTGCTGTGTAGGGAGCCAAAGTAGAGAGATTGTGTTTAGAAGGATAGAAGAAAGAAATGCTGGAAGGCCGTACTGGTGGAGTGTGACTGGGTAAGGCTGAGAAACACTACCACCAGCCAGGGCAGGAGGACAGGCTTCAGAAGGGACAGAGGATCCACAGTTGAAGGATCATCCTCAAGTTGTGGTGTGAAAGGAACCATGCCCAGACCCCTAGATTCTAGCAGTGTCTGCAAGGACACCTATGTTTGCCACTTTGTTCTAGAGCAAAGAGCACAGCAGAAAAGGAGCAGATTGATAAACTCCAGAGTCCTGCTTTCTGTTTTCACCAAGGATTTCCCCCACTGGGCAGTGTTGTGTCAGTGAGCCACTTTTATTTGAAGCAAAGGACTTGTAATATACAAGCATATTTAAAGATCTCACCATTTCAGGTACTAGAGGCCACTAGGCCTGGAATTCAAGCGATTCTCGTGCCTCAGACTCCCGAGTAGCAGGTATTACAGGGGCATGCCACCACGCCCAGCTGATTTTTGTATTTTTAGTGGAGACGGGATTTTGCCATATTGGCCAGGCTGCTTTCAAACTCCTGACCTCAGAAAATCCACCTGTCTCAGCCTCCCAAAGTGCTGGGATTACAGGTGTGAGCCACCGCGCCCAGCCTACTGTTCATATTTTATGTTTTCATGGTACTTTATTCTTCAACAGTGCTCTCCTAACCTTGCATCTCTTACCCCTGCCCTGGTCAGAGAGGGGGTTGTTTAATCTGCCCTGGGCAGCTGGAGACCTGAAGGCCTCGGTCCCTTGGCTCAATGCTGCCCTGCAGTCACACAGCCTCTTGGTCATGAAGAACGACTCAAACTTGATTTTCAACCTCCCTAACCTAACGCTTTTTCTGTTACTCCACAGCTACCTTCCACGAATTAGTTTGAAGTGCAGTGGATAATTCATTGTATGTTAATTACTCTTCCCTTCCTGTAAGCCCCCATTAGACTCTGTGAAAGATGAACCCTCCTTGAAGCATTTCTTTCCTTTGATTCTAATAAATAAATAGGTTTGGCTGAATTCATGGGAAAGGGTTAGAGGCTTAGTTATAAACTCATAAATGTATTGCCTAGCAACTTAGGAAATGAATTGAATCACTAATCCTGATTTAAGAAGGAGGAAGCAGAAAGCGATCTTGAATTAAAAGTGGGACTTGCAATAGATTTAGCACTAAAGTGTTTTAGATAAATCACCTCAGCCTTCTGTTGATCAATAGCCCAAAGGCTGCTGTAGCAGGGAATTCCGCCTGGAGGACTGCAACTGTTTAGTAACAGACCCTTCTTCAGGTTGGGGGGCGGAAGGGGAGGTCTTCCGAGAGGAGACGCGGTTTCTGCATTCAGTGCTCAGCTGAGGAGCAGGTTGCATTTTGCCTTCCTGTGCTGACTCCCTCCTCAGTCTTCCCATCTGGCTAAATTAAAAATGATGCAGTGCCAGGGTTTGTTTTTTGCTTTCATTGTTGTTTTGTTTTTTGAGTTTTTAAAAATTTTTTTGGAATGCCAGTTTTAAACAAGGCCTGTGCTATTTTGGGGGCACAAAATACTTTGGAACATTTGCCTGAACAAGTGCCTGTTGTTTGGGGGTTTTTTTAATGTTGTTTTTTTTTTAAGAGACAGGGTCTAGCTCTGTTGCCTGGGCTGGAGTACAGTGGCGCCACCACGGCTCACTGTAACTTCAAACTCCTGGGCTCAAGTGATCCCCCAACCTCAGCCTCCAGAGCAGCTGAGACTACAGGTATGCACCACCACACCTGGATAATTATTTAAATTTTTTGTAGAGATGGGATCTCGCTATATTTCCTAGGCTGGTCCTAAACTCCTGGCCTCAAGCAATATTTCTGCCTCGGCCTCCCAAAGCACTGGAATGACAGACATGAGTCACTGTGGTGGACCTCCCATTGTTTTTTTATAGCAAATACTCCTAAGAAGTTTGGAGACAAATTAAGGCCATGCTAAGCACCTGTGCTGTTCTCAGCATCACGTGCCTGACAGGGCATCACCAGTTAGCCCTCGCTCTACACTGTTAGCCCCGCCCTGGAGGGAACACTGCAGTCTCCTCACTCAGGAGAAGCCCGGCCTGATGAGGAGATGCAGGAGAAAGGTCCCACCTGTCGGGGCTCAGATTGAAGGCAGTGGCGAGAGGCAGATTTCTAGGCTGCATGACTTCATCACCACATGCCCTTCTCAGAACCACCATATGAGTTAGCTGGACCCGAGAATCCTGTCCTACCCCTACCAGCAAGACAGCTCTTCAGCTGTTTCTCACCGTGATGGAAAACAGCAGACAGGAAAAGCCATCTCTCCCTGTTGAAGGGTGCTACGCTGCCAGAATTTCTATCCCCAAGAAGAGGCAGGAGGAGCCCCTCGCCAGTTCTTCTCTTGAGCCTTTTAAAGCTCTAGTCTTCTTAAAACGTGCTTAGAAATGGAGGCTGATGAACATGTGAGGAGTCCAGTTTTCAGCTGAGGTGCATCACCTGTACCTCTTCATGACATCACTTTTTAATTTGTGGAAAAGCCACTCATAAATGCATGACAGGAGGTGCAAAGAATGTCTTCCTCTTTGGCTTCTTCTCCAAGGAGAAAGTCTACCATCTAGTCTCCATACAGACAACTGTAGTATCGTTGGCCTTGGATTTGTCCTGCATGTAGAGAACTGGCTTCACCATTCTGCACAGGTAGACGATGCAGAGTGATGGCAGTATTTCAGTAGTGACATCCCAGGTCCTTACCCCATTCTGGCATTGGCAATGTATCACAAAGGTCTGTTCAAAAATATCTGCCTCCGTAGGCTATCAATACAAATTCAAGAGCATCTTTTAAGTGCCAGTGAGGATGACCACAGTGATCAGTTATTCCTACCTGAATATAGAATAGTTTTACTAGCATGAGCTTTCCTTCTAGCTTAGACAATGAGAATAGAGTAGTAGAAGTTTCCACAGTTGGAGAGGAGGCTGATTTTGGAACATGCAGCATCACAGAGATCAGGCCTCCCTGGGCAGCTAAAAGACAGTCCTGGGCTCCTGGGGAATAGAGAACAGCAGGGACTAGGCCAGGCACAGTGGCTCACACCTGTAATCCCAGAACTCTGGGAGGCTGAAGCAAGTGGATTGCTTGAGCCCAAGAGTTGGAGACCAACCTGGGAAACATAGCGAAACCCCGTGTCTACCAAAAAAAAAACAGAAAATAAGCCAGCCTGATGGTGCACACCTATAGTCCCAAGTACTCAGGAGGCTGAGGTGGGAGATTGCTTGAGCCTGAGAAGTTGCAGTGAGCTGAGATGGTGCCACTGCACTCCAGCCTGGGCAACAGAGCAAGACCCTGTCTCAAAAAAAAAAAAAAAAGAGAAAGAGAAGAAGAGGGCTCCAGAAAATTCAGGGGTCAGCAAAGACAGAGGAGGAGAGAGCAGCAAAGATATACTTTTCCTCCTTTGCAACTTTACCCCTGGCCACAGTGCTGCCATGCACCATTGGAAATTGTCAAGAGTGGCATCCCATGAGTTGGCAAGATTCAGGGAGTTCAGTGCAATAAAAATCACAGAGCACTTTTCATTTCCCGAGAAGTGGATCTACCTTGAGATCTTGCAAAAGATCTCCAGAACACAAAATGCCAACTTAGTAAAAGTTGAAGCATCTATTTCCTGTGACAGTGCCTCCTGGACAGGTGAGACCAAATCCACCCAGGCTTCCCAGGGTGCCCCCAATCAAGATAATGGCAGAGAGACTCCCACAGCACCTCACATTGCACCTTTTTCTCATTTTAACATTCATTTGAAGACTCACCCATCCCTAATTTGGTTTTCTACTTGAAGGAATGCTATCTGGATGCCAGAAAAGGATCATCACCTCCTAGTTTGAAACTTATCTTGCAATAGAATGTTACTTGTTTATGGGATTCCAATTGCAATTTGAGTTATTTTTTGACAGAGTACTGCGTGTAATGTCAACACACAAGACCACGGTGAAAAATGTCTTAATTTAATTTTCTTTTGCGGGTTTTAATTCTGTAATTGCCTCCGAACCACTCAGCTTGGTTAAGTGAGGGACATGAAGTACTTGCTGGGGCTGCTGGCAGGGAAGGACACTTTGTAAGCATTTTTAGGCATTGATGGTTGTACACGGAACACTGTATTGCCGACAGGTTTTTTAAGACAGCGCAATTAAAAGGTAATTAGAGTAACTAAAGCATTGAGGGTTTTACATCTGTGACAACTGCAAAAAAGCATAAATGGGATATTATAAGATAAAAAATGATTGCACGATTATGTGAATTTTTTTTATTTTTTTCTTTTTAAACACATCTACGTATCAAAAGAAGTTTCTAGCAGGGTTTGCAGCCAAGCTGCTTCGTGGTTATTTTGTGCTTCAGGACAATGGTACTTCAACCTTTCTCCCACTGGGGAAGAAGGCACAAAGAGATACTAGAGAGGAAAAAACGCGATTCTTGTTAAGCCAGTAAGAGGGAGGTGGAGACAATGAAGGGCATTGCAATGCATTTCAAAGAGCCTGAGCTCCACAGTCAGACAACCCTAAATTTCAGTCCCAACCCAGCACCTGCTCTGCATAAGGCACTTAAATTCTTTGAGTACCAGTTGCTTCACCTATGAAGTAATAATGGCAGCAACAGCACCACTTCCTAATTATACACAGTGGATGTAGTTAGGAAAGTGTTGTTTATATAGCCACAGGGCCCAGATCAAGCAGGGCATCCAAGGCCTGAATGTTGCAGTGTGGTATTTCTCTTATCAGGCCCCTGCACCTTAGTTTCCATGGAGAAAGCACCTTGAGGCTTCCACCTGCCTGCTTCCTTCAGTACCTGCCCTTGCTCTGAGGGAGGAGGAGCAGGACACAAGAACAATGTGCAAGCATGATGGCAAGGGATTTGAAGAGCCTCGTTGGGTCAGATCTCTTCTCACGCAGAGAAAGCGACAGATGCTCCCTTCCTTACAGAATTAGCAGAAAGCAGTGCTGCACAGCTACAGGTGGACACGGGGAATGGAAAGTCAAATGCTTAGTAATTACTGTTATTTTTTAAAGTGGAGGCCAGACATGGTGACTCACACTTGTAATCTCAGCACTTTGGGAGGCCGAGGCAGGCAGATCACCTGAGGTCAGGAGTTCAGGACCAGCCTGGCCAACATGGCGTAAACCCCGTCTCTACTAAAAATACAAAAATTAGCCAGGTGTGGTGGCATGCGCCTGTAGTCTCAGCTAGTCGGGAGGCTGAGGCAGGAGAATTGCTTGAATCTGGGAGTGGGAGGCTGCAGTGAGCCGAGACTGCACCACTGTACTCCAGGGGCAACAGAGTGAGACTCTTGTCTCAAAAAAGAAAAAAGTGGCTGCCACCCAGACTGCTTCCATGCACAGCACCTGGTGAGAACTGCAGCTCCAGGATGTGACTGTGTTAGATTGTTTTTAATTAAATGAAAATATTTCTTCCAGATCTGGCATTCATTTACCCACAGATAATACAGTGGACCACTTTGAGTGTTGCTAGTCTAGCACACTCCAGAAAGAAGGAAAGCAACTGCTTCCCAGGTTACTTGTCTTGGTTGTCAAATATGCTAGTTTACAGAGGAAAACTATGATCATTTATGTCATTTCTTCCAGAACATAATTGCTGAGCATGAAATTCGTAATATCTCCTGTGCTGCCCAGGACCCAGAAGACCTCTCAACATTTGCCTATATCACAAAAGATTTGAAGTCCAATCACCACTACTGTCACGTGTTTACTGCCTTCGATGTGGTGAGTACCTGCCCCCTTTCAACAGATTAAAGACTTTCCAAAATGGGCCTGGACTGTGTTGAAAGCCCAACTTATAGTTAACATGCTAGCTTGGCTTGTTTACCCGGTATTAAGATACATACCAAGTGTATTTGTTTGCTAGGGCTGCCATAACAAAGTACCACAAACCGAGGGGCTTAAACAGCAGAAATTCATTTTCTCACAGCTTCTGGGGGCTAGAAGGGCAAAACCAATGTGTCAGCGGGTTTGGTTTCTTCTGAGGCCTCTCTCCCTGCCTTGCAGATGGCTGCTGATATGGTTTGGCTGTGTCCTTACCCAAATCTCACCTTGAATTGTGTAGCTCCCATAATTCCCACGTGTCATGGGAGGGACCCGGTGGGAGGTAATTGAATCATGGGGGTGGGTCTTTCCTGTGCTGTTCTCGTGATAGTGAGTAAGTGTCACAAGATCTGATGGTTTTATAAATGGGAGTTCCCCTGCCCAAGCTCTCACTTGCATGCCGCCATGTAAGACGTGGCTTTGCTCCTCATTCACCTTTTGCCATGATTGTGAAGCCTCCCCAGCCATGTGGAACTGTGAGTCAATTAAACCCCTTTCCTTTATAAATTACTTAGTCTTGGGTATGTCTTGATTAGCAGCACGAGAACAGACTAATACAGCTGCCTACTTGCTGTGTCCTCACGTCGCCTTTCCTCTGTGCTTGGATGTCTGGGTCCAAATTTCCTCTTCTTGTAAGGACACCAGTCAGATTGCATCAGGGCCCACCCCAATGACCTCACTGTAACTGAATCACCACTTTCAGGGCACTATCTTCAAATACAGCCACATTCTGAGGTACTGCGTGTTAAGCCTTCAACATATGAATTTTGAGTGGGTCACAGTTCCATTCATAACACCAAGTACATTTTGGCAGACTAGGCTCTTCAGAGATTTTTCAATATTTTCATTCTTCCATTCAACTTAGAACACCAACCCTACCTAGTATCTCAAATGCCATTACTCAACTACTAATTTCACTTTTCAGACTTGAGAAATTCCTTTGTTTCTCTGGCACCAAAACATAGTAAAGGTCTTACAGCCCCCTTGTCCCTCACTATGTCTGTCGGTTTCTCTAGTAGCCATTTCTAAGTACTAGGGCATAATAGGTGTGTTTGCCTCATACAAATCTGCAGTCTTCTATATTGAATAGGAGTCACATTAGATACCTACAGGTGGTAATTGGGAACTCCAAGGTTTGGCCCATATGCTCATTCAGAAATTAGTCTTGGCCGGGTGCAGTGGCTCACACCTGAAATCCCAGCACTTTTAGAGGCCGAGGTGGGCAGATCACTTGAGCTCAGGAGTTGAAGACCAGCCTGAGGGACATGATGAAACCCCATCTCAACAAAAATGCAAAAGAAAACAAAAAAATTAGCACATGCCTGTAGTACCAGCTAACTGAGAGGCTGAGGTGGGAGAATCACCTGAGCATGGGAGTTCGAGGCTGCAGTAAGCTCTGATCACACCACTGCACTCTAGTCCAGGTGACAGAGAGACCCTGTCTCAATTTTTTAAAAAAGTTACTCTTGGACAGGCACAGCTCATGCCTGTAATCCCAGTACTTTGGGAGACCAAGTTGAGAGGACCACTTGAGTTCAGGAGTTCAAGACCAGCCTGGGCAACATAGTGAGACTTTGTCTCTAGTAAAAGAAAAAAAA